ATTCGTCATAAACAACAACAACAAAAAACTTCCCATCTGCCATGCCCGCCCAATTGAATATTGAAATTTCATTTTCTTCGAATTTTCTTTTTTTCCGGTTACAGCCGATTAACTTTTTCTTATTTGTTTATATCTGGATTTATCTAAAATTAGCAAAGAGTTGTTTTGTGCAAGGAACTGCATATGAAACAACAATTTAACAATTCTCTCACGGACTAACTACTCTGTATTGATACCTGATTCTGTCACGGACTAACTACTCTATATTGATTCATACCACAACAGTTACATCATTCAATAAGAAACTATAGAACTTGGCCCTTAACTTCTTGGCCCATTTAACGGCTATAAGTAATTATTAACCAATAACGTACGCAATCCATATACTTACAACTTCATCCTAATATTGAGCTGTTCTAGTAGCGGACGATACGCTTAGGTTAGGCAGTTAATAAATTGTTTGCAATATAGCTTTGACCCGAAAATGAAGGCATGAAATAAGTAGATCGGTCATTGGTGATAATCACAATTTTTCGATCAAACATCGTTCTCATCAAATTCGTATTCGTCCGAACTACTTACAGCGCAGTTTGAGCGAAACTTGAAACTTCCTACATTAAAGATCGCTTTATCTCAAAAGCCGAATCGGAACGGCGCATGCACGTAAGCCGAATCGCGAAAGCTTGTATTAACAGTAAAATCGATATGCAGCTCAACGGATCTAGCGATAAGTAAAAAGAAGTAAAGTAAAAATTTACTAACATGATCAAGTCAGCAATCGGGCCGTCATCAATCGAAACTGTGCCCACAAACATTGGAAGGAAGTGCGCGGTAAATACAATGGCAAGCGCCCCTACCGGAGAACACTTTGGGCAGTAACTCTTAAAAAAATGAGGCGTAACCGTAAGTCTCAATGGCTAGCATCAAGTCCGTCATGCAAGACGCTCTCTTTGAGGATAAATTTGGACAGAGCGGCGCAACAATCGATGCAAGCGAAAAATACTTTAACGAAAACCGATAAGCGATGCTTCGGGCAGAGGATGAAGTCTGGCCATTGAAGTCAAGCGTACGCGTCCTTCTCTAAGCGTCTGATCCCTGTAACACTAAATTAGGAAAACTGGACGCTTTCGAAGTACAATTAGAAAAACAAGACGCCACATACTACAGAGCTAACGGAGAAATCGTCTTGAAAAGGAAAGCAGAAGATGAAGATATGGATGAGTGCAGTATGCTGGTGTACTTTTTTCAAGGAACGACATATGCGAATAGGACACTGAACCGCGCAATTTACAGGAGTTTGCAGCTTAGAGTGAAGACATTGGTGCAACGGTTAATCTCCCTCTTATTTAAAACAGCTGTATATCAACCTGAGATGATGGGTATCCAAAATTCGCCATACATAGTAAAGAATTCATTCGTGATTGGCTTTGCTTATTTCCCACTGAAATCTCTTTACTTTTCATTTTCCTTCTGTGCTTATATAAATTTCTTTGGAAAATCTCAAAGCATACAATTTTTGTAATAGCAACAATTTGTGCTTTTTACAAAATATTTATGATGCCATTTCTGTTGCTGTCACATATGTCAGGACGTGTGTTCGTACGCCTATATTGCAAGGAAAAAAATCCTTTCGCAGTAACGCATTAAATATTTATAAAACTCAGCACTTTTTCCATCTAAAACACTGACTAACCTTCTATGGCTGTCTTCAGAAAAAAAAAAAAACAACAAAAAAAAAAGTGAAAGATAAAGGGAAGAGAAAGAGAGGCAAGAAGTGCTGCTTGCATCTATTTCAATCGTTAACAGTCGCAAGAAGTTTAAAGAAGATTTCGTTTCTCATTTAATTTGCTTTAAAGTAAAAAGTAAAGAAAAAACATTTTTCCAAGCAAAACTGTTCGACACTTAACTATTCCATTACCTTGTTCGACGCTATGTTGATCGAAAGGAATTTTCCAACATCGAGTTTTATTAAATAAAACGCCCATTTTCAAGTGAATTGTACAATGCGTTCAGTGCAACGGTTTTCTAATTAAAGACAGTTAGAGTTATTCCACTCAATCTGTTCGATTCACTTAACCTGTCTTTGTTTTGCAGCCTTTCACTAGAGCTCACATTATTTTCGACAGCAATGTAAATTTTCCCATGAATTTTGATTTTTAATAGCGTTGCGTGTTATTGATTTGATCTATCGGACTGAAAAATGTTGTTGCCCTTAAACGTGCCCATTGGATTTTTTTGTTTGGCTTTTCCCTCTAGCAGTTCTTCTGCATTGAACTTGTGCTTCTCAGTTAAAAGTTTGTGTAGTTATATCATGCACCACTTGGGGTACAAGGATATACGATGTTAGTGCGGAAGTACGCAACACTAAGAAGGACTTGAGATTGACCCACCTTCTACTATACCGATCGAAGCAGAAGCGAGCACTTTCTGAATCGATCTAAACTTGTCTAAACTCGTACGTCTTGTTTTCTTGTGTTCAGGCTGTAATTTTAGAAATATTTTGAGAAAATTTGGTACACCGACGTGTTTTGGCCCAAAAACAAAAGCTACTCAAAATGGCTTGGATCGGACTGCTTTTTCAGTCACTTCTCCTATAAAGTCTTTTTTTCAAAACTCGTTATTTGAATAACTGTAGCATGGGACGTTCGAACATTACTACATTTGTTCAACAAGCCGAAAGCCGAAGTTCTTCAGAGTTCGTGCAAGGGGACATCATGAAATTCTTATGATGTTGCCCCTTTTTTTTTTTACTTAAAGCGACCTGTGGTTAGTCTCACGGGCTATAAATGTTCCCCATGTTATGCATACAAAGTTTGCCGCAATTACACTGGCTTCAGGACGTCTAAGCGTACTTTCGGCCCGCCATTACTCTCATTAATAGAAATCTTATTTAGTAGCCGTAAAATATGAGAGACAATTAACGTCGTGTTGTAAAAATCCGATGAAATTATAATCAATTTTTCAGAAAACTTGCACAGAAATACTGTAACCCTCTCGGCAAAAATTATACGGTTGTATGAATTATTTTGAAATTTCAAATTTCGTTTTAATTCGTTTCGTATTAATGAAATTTATTTATTGAAAGCAAACAAGAAGGTTAACTAGCGGTTTAAATTTTGCAATTATAAAGAAAATCATCGATGAAGTGCAAAATAAAAGTTGGACACAATCTGTTTTGCTAAAACATTTAAAGTAAAGTAATAAGCAAACTTAGATCTAAGTGAGCTTAAACTATAGCAATAAAGCAAAGAATGTCAAGCAGAAGCAAGCAGCAAAGATAAAATAAAGTAACGGTAAACGGTAAGCGGTTTAAAATATTAAAAGCGAACTATTATGTAATTAGTTACTTACCACGTATGGTCTACCCATACTTAGATTCGAACCCATGAATATCGATTTTGCAGTCGCCCGTCTTATCCGCCCCTCTATGCTGTATTAAAAAGGTACCTTTTTTAGAAGCCTTGATAATGTGCATCAAAGGTTGCATTTTATGAGCTCTGACTCCACAGTCCCCGTAGATAAACCATTTTCTGATATTGGGAGGATTTTCGTAAAAGTCGGAAGCATAGGCTTCTGCTTCTACGTCATTTTTTCGTTCCTAATCATTTTATAATGATTAACAGAGTTTTTCAGATGCAAGTCAATATAAAGTTTAGAAAAAGTTGCAATGCATTTGGACGATGATAAATCCCGTTTCCGTCGTTTTGCAAAAAGTGCGATTTTAAACTGATGAAATGATGACAGAGAGCTAAAAAGTGATCTCTCATGATTCGTCGTTAATTATAATAATTGTATAATAATAGGCAAACTACAATGAAAGAGATTGTTGTTGTAGGCTAAATTGTGACATTGAATGTTGTTTCAATCGCATTAGGCCACCTAAAGCAATTCGGTCATATTTCGGCGCTCTTTGCATAGGCTTTTTTTGTCTCACAAACTGAACCACCAGCTATGACTGGTACAGATTGTAAATGGATACTGGAAAGCTCTGCCTAGTTTACCACAAGATTTTAGTTTAACATAAGATTTTACAAACTTTTCGTTGTTTCAATTATGTTCTTATGTGTTTACCCAAGTAGATTGGTTGTACATACTCTGTCAGCTTCATTTGCATAGCTTTTTAAGTACTTTTGACTTGAAAATTTTATAATTGTTCTTATGTGAACATTGATGGAAATGTTTGTAATCAAATTGAAATAATTGCATATCAATAAATAAATGGGTACCGCACACGAGGATTACAACAACGCCACATCGCAACGCATTCAATAGATACTAGACTATGTTCATATATCGCTTCCTCTGATTTCCTAATACGCTTAGCTAAAAGTACCTATGACTGGTTAATTTTCTTAGTTAGATGTATAGATTTTCTAGCCATTACAGATAGATAGACACCTTTCCCAGTGGCCTAAACTCATTTCTAAAGTTGATTTGGAGGATAGAATTAAAAATACCCATATACCAAGTTTGTCGAGTTCTATTTCAATTTATAGGAATGGAATGGACGGACGGGTTGACATGTTATTATTGATAAGTGAATGAATCTTTGGTTATTTCGGAGGAATCTCTTAAGATGTTCACTTATTATGGAAAAGTTTTTAGAGAGACTTCTGATCGAAGCGTTGGAGACTGGACGGCTAACCAAGGGAAATCTTATTTGCTTTCTATTTAAGGGAATTCTTAAGAAGTATAGAATCTCAAGAACAAAGAGATGAATGAAAACGTTTTGTTATTGATTGCTTGAATAATTTGGTAATTAGTTGTCTCCAAAAACTTCTCAAGATGTTTACTTAACATATGATCGTGTGGTTTAAGAAAGTCTTGTGAACTATGGCTAACGGGAGAAGACTTCGCTTACTTCCTAAAAAAGAGTTCAAAATAGAGACTAATAGGCAGTGTATTCAGAAAAAAAAAAAAAAAAAAAACAAAACCCCTCTGTCAATATTTTTTCTTCTTCGCTAGTAACTAAGAAAAGCATTTTGTTTTCCTATTTGCAGGAAATAGCAGCGATTCTTATCAGCTTCGATAAGCACAACGAATGGCAATCGAAAGAAGTGAAAACAAGGTAAGTGTTTCTAGACTTTGTTATATTACGATATGTTTATGGATTTAGAAGAAGAAGAAGAAGAAGTAGAAGAAGAGACATCGTTATATGATTGCTTTTTCGTGTTAAAGGCCGAAAAGCGGTTCATTGCTGTTGTATTCGCGTAAAAAGGTTCGTTATCGACGCGATGGCTACTGTTGGAAGAAACGTAAAGATGGCAAAACGACACGAGAAGATCATATGAAACTTAAGGTGCAAGGCACAGAGGTGAGTTGTTGTTTGCTTAGTTTTTCATTCTTCTAAGGAATAAATGCAGAGCGCAATAATAAATGCTTGCCTGCGTAACTAAATAATTATGGAAAAGCAGGACATTTTTTAAAAAATATGTAAAATATTTATGTCTTGAAATAATTCTTATTCTGCCATCATATACTTAAGTGTTTGCTTAAAAGCCGGGGCAAATTAGTTCTATTCATTAAAATTTTCTTTTATAATTAATTTACGACTTAATGTGTGGATGTACATATATACATATAGGGATTACGACGAAAACAAAAAATAAAGAGGAAAAAGAAAGGCGTAAAGCCAAGCAAAGAGTAGGGGAAGATTTTCGTAAACGAAATCTTTTTTATTTTTTTTCTTTTTTTTTGATAACAGTTTCAAGTGCAATCATACACACGGACGAGGACGCGGACGCGGACAAACAAATACATGTTTAAATATGTTTATCTGGTGCCCCTTTTCTAATTTTCTTATTTGTTTTGTTTTCATGTGTGTTTTTCATTTCTCGCTTTTTGGGGAAATGCCATGAATTATGATTTCCTAACGGAAACATAGCAAATTACTTGAGTCGGTCGCAATCTCTGCTCTTTTTGTTTTTTTTTTTTTTGTTATTATTTTCTTTATTATAGGTTTTTTCTTTACATTTTTGCTTTCATTCGACCCGTGCTTTTTTTTTCACAGAAGAAATACACACAAAACAAAAAAACAAAGAAAAAATTTGTGTAATTTCACGCCAATTTTTTTGTTTTCGCTTAACATCTTTGCCTTTTAAATGTTTTTCTCTTTTTATAACAATTACGATCGAACGACAAGGGTATGCTAGGTTCGCCATTTCATTCGTAGCGCACACACATCAGCATCGATAGATAACCTAGAACATGTAAATTCTCGTTTAGGGTAAGGGCTAGAAACTTCGGGTATCCATCCGGCTGTTCTTGTACTGTTGAAACCGCTCAACTAACAAAAGTCAAATTCAAGATACACAAGCGATTGAGAAACTGCACGTCCATACGTCCTTTCACTGTTGAGATCTGCAAAATTTAAATTTGATCGGCGCAAGAGACAGAGTACATCCAACCGTCTGCTTATTGTTGAGATCTAAATCAGATCAGCACAAGGGATAGAAAACCGGTATGTTCATCTGTCCGTTGATCATTTCAAGCTTTAAAGCGACAGAAATGACGATAGAAAACTAACTCTGATAGGTACGCTTTTAGCTCAGTTTGATAATCTGAAAGTGAGCGCGTTCGACTTGTTACCGCCTTTGCGCTAGCTTATAAAATGTACTAATTAAAAATTTGCACAACGCTTTTTGATGGCTTCAATAAGTCCTGTGATAATTTTCGGGGCAGTTTAGAAGATATCGAAAAGTCTCTTATGCAAAGACATTGTGCTTTTATTTATCATTACTAGCATCTAGAAAGTGTAATATTCTTGTCGTACTATCTGCGAGACGAGATACGTAATCTAAAACTAAAGGAACTCTAAGTCTAATTCTACGCTGTGTGTATGTGGTGTATATAAAATTCCGACTTGATTTAACCAAGGCGAATAGTCTTTAGAATTCTCGTAATCGTGAGAATTTGGATAGAAACCTAATAATAAACAATAATCGACACAGATCAAGTTTAAAGGTGCGTATGACTTGCACGTAACGTTAGGAGTAAGGAAAAATGGAAATATCAAAAAGTTGCCTGCTTGTCTTCTATCAATCCAGAGTTTGTAAATATACTTTTCGGAGCTCCCTTAAAGCTCGAGAGGAAAATATGCGCTATTGGCTATTATTAACTTGTTAAGATGAAACGAAGAGTAACGCCTGTCTTGGCTGAAACTTTCTCACTATAAGAGCTAGGGGGTACCCTATTGGGTCCTTTAAAGCGAATAGTGCGTATGTTCACATTTCTGTCTAATAAAATTAAAAGTCCATCCTTCCGGTCCTTTGTTCTTGGAAAATTCCTGCTTGCAAATCAATTGCACTTTAGCGTACATGTCATCTTTCGATCGCCACAAATCCAAGAAAAAATTACCTATGATCCTTACGGAGTGTTTTTGTTAGGAATTTTATATATTTACCAAAGCTAGTAGGTGCACGCGATTCGCCTCGAACTGAACAAAAATTTGTATTTGTTTTATTTGTTGTTGTTATTTATTTTGCCAACCTTTTTTGTTTAGTGCGTGTCTCTAAATGATATTTGTATGTATGTTAACTATATTAGAAGATTTATGTTTTATTTGAAGACGGAAATGTTAAGACAACAACGCGTCTGTCTAATGTCTGGAAGTCTTTTACGCGATAACTAATATTCATACGATTCACTCTCTCCCCCTCCTTTCTCTCCCACTTCCCTACCGAGTATGCAACTTAAATTTCATGTGGCGTTTGTCTAAGTGTGTTTGCAGTTGAATTAGATTAACAGTCAGCGGTATATCAGCATTAAAAAAAAAGATATATATATATATATACATTGTTATCACAGTACATTGTATGCACAGTTTCCCTCCTATTCAGTTTTTCAATGAAAACATATTTTGGCATTAAATTGTTTTCAACTCGTTCGCTCTCTCGCTTAACTCAATCCATCTCTTGAGATTGTTTAGGAAGGGGAGGTTGGTTTTTTTCTTTCTTTCGTTCTCTTGTCAGCCTTAAACTAATTTCATTAAAGCGATTTTATAGATTTGTTTTCTTCAATAATATTCTTTATATGTTTATTTGTTTTTTTTCTTCCTTCCGCATGGCCGCCAGTGCATTTACGGTTGTTATGTACACTCTGCGATTTTGCCCACATTTCATCGCAGATGTTATTGGTTGTTACAGGTAATATTACGATATTACGATGTCTTCATATCTAAGCTTAACATATAACTTAACTATTTTTATGCCTGCATGCTTGTTGATGCTGCTTATAATGCTTAATAATATCTTTGATTTTCTTCTCTCTAGAATCCTGATATTGTTTTGGTTCACTATTTAAATGTTCCCTATCCTGATGATAATAAAATGGCTGTTATAGCACCCAGCATAAGTTTATGGGGCGATAAGAAGGAGTGGACTAAAGAAGAGCTGGTCAGTCAACTGAAACCTATGCGTAAGTCACTTAACTTAAAAGTCAATTACGTTGTTTTTTGTAGCCCACACTGAAGAAAAGATCAGCTATTCCGAGGATATTATGCCAGAAAACGGCTCGAATACTATCAAAATATATTTCTGTCCATCCGTCTGTATAATGGCTGTGCTAATCATTCTTCTTATTGAAAAAGGAGAGCTATCTGCTTCAAATTTGGCAGAGACATACGAAAGTCTTGCACGCAGATTGGTCGGTCCACCTGAGACAGCCTCTGTTTTAGAAAAGTAAAAAAGACTTGATTTTTCTCTCGTTACTTATACACCACGACAAGTACGTGGCTAAAAATTGTCATTAATATTCTATGAGTAATCTTGTAGTACCCGTAAAAAAACAGGAACAGTCGGCTGCACGTATTCAATATTAGCAATATTGAAATTCCATTCTTTTGATAAAAGGTCCGAGAAAGAAACTTCAAACACTATATGACGTGTTCATATTATTCATCGCTATCGAACATGAACAGTTCTAGACATGTTTGTCAGTCAGTCTGGCCGCCCACCTATCTGTTAACTGAAAATATAGCTTTTCCTTTTTTTAGAGATTTTTTTTAGACTAACGGTGATGCGCATAAAAGATTCAGTGGCAGCTTTTTTTTTTATCCTAATGGCTATAATATCAAATTTAAGGTCTTTTCAAAGTGTCATTCACCGACTAAATGACTTTTCAAAATCGATTAATTAATTTTTATAATTATAAAACAACGATATGGTGACTTCTCTGACATCGCGGGAAAGGCGAGCCTAATTTGTTTCTTTTTGTTTTCCTTATTCCATAGTATCAACAGTGACATCAGATGACGAATCGGATTCGGGAAATGATATTGAAATATCGGTAAGTGAAAAGTTTTTTTTTTGTTTTTCTTTTATACTAATGTTCAAATATTTGCTTCTCAACTAAAACTCGCTAGACCGCAGAGACTGTCGAATCGATTGTTTGTCAACTAATGGAAAAACAACGTTTATCACGGCAGGCGGCTTTGGTTAAACAATTAGATTGCGGTTGTGGGGGTGCTTCGTGTGCTGATGGCAAGACTTGTTCACATCCGGTAATACGTAAGCCTAGTTTAGTGAAATCAAGTACTGAAAAACGTATAACACCAACAATGTCAACTGACAGTTGCGCTTACAATACAGGGTCAGCACCAAATGTTGTAATAGGTCCTAAGGTTAGTATAAAGTAATTTTTCGAGAGAGCAATTGTTTAAAACTTTCTTGGTTTTATAAATATGTTCACTTAAAAAGTTGTATTCGAGATGGTCAGAGCGAAGATCTGCCCGTGAAGCCTCCAGTATGGAAGGTCAGCAATATTCTCATTATCATCAACAGCATAACCACAATCAAATGCAACAGTTGGCTCAAGAATCTGCCATCAAATTTCAAATAATACCGCCAAACAACGAGCAACAACATCAGCAAAATTTTAGGCATTATTATAATAATAATAATAATAATAATAATAATAATAACAGTAGTAATACAAACACTAATAACAACAACGCAACAAATTCATCGTCTCATCAATTTATAACCACAAGAAACAATATTCTTGTCCAGCATCAACAACAGCAGCAACAACAGCATCAGCAAATGTCAGTGAATCAATCAAATTTCAATCAGTTACACAATAAGAGTAACAGCAGCAGTAATAGCAATAATCATAATAACCACAATAATAATAACAGCAACAACAATAATAATAATTCTCAACAACATGTAAATTTACAACGATTTAATAGTAATAATAATGTCAACACTGGTAATAATAATATTTCACAGCAACAACAACAACAACAACAATTGCAACAAAATTTTCAAATTGCCAAGACAACCATAACTGCAATGGACAGCGGTAATGGCAATGTTATTGATAGTAATGGTGCTGGTGGTGGTGGGTCCAACAACAATAATAATACTTATATCAGTAATAATAGCACATCCTCTACACCCATTATGAATGACGTTGATTTGTTGAGTACACAAAACCACAATACGACAAAAACAACATCATCAACAACATATTCAAATTCTAATAAAATTAACCACAACACAAACGTCAGTAATAACGACTCGAAGTTTGATACGAATGATGAGGCTATTGCTGTTGCTACTGGTGTAGCAGTAACCTTACAAAATGATGCAAATATCATAAACAATAATATCAACAGCAACGCGCACTTTCTCAAGAATGCTGTAAGATGAACGACCACCAGCAACAGTTATTGCCATCAGTGTCCTCATCGAGCTCTTCAACGGTCGAACCAATGTGCATGTCACCCGAACACGAACTCTCACCATCCCAGAAATACATGCATCATCTGCAACCGCACGTTCAACAAACCAACTCAACATCTTCATCATCAGATTCAATATCCGAAACTCTATCTACGTCTTCGTCATCTTCATCGTCATCATCGTCACAATCGTACATCGATTTAAATCAAAAGTCTGGCAATTCTCCATGCATAACGTCCCAGGCAAATAGTGCCGAGAATGCAAAAAACTCCATTAAAATGAATGGTCATGAAATTATTGAATCGGTGAAGGTAAGCAAAGATCTTTAGCAAACGAAAATTCTCGGTGCTCGATGCTCACATGCTTCTAAACGTACCGGAATCGCTTAACTTTTTCTGCTAATCAATTACAATATGCTCCACGCAATAGTAGATCTTTTCGATTATGCCCTACAGCTCTCGTTTTATGGAGCAAACTAAGTTTAGTGCGGATATAAACAATACCCGTCTAGAACGTTTTGAAGTACGTCGACACTTATTTATACCAAGTGAGTCAGAATAGTCGTTCGAATCGACTTGAACATGTTTGCCCATTTCTGCTATATGTCCATCCAGTGTCCGTTCGTACAGACATATTTTCAACCTACAGATCGTAAATTTCAAGATCCTTCGATCACTTGGATCGGAACATTTTTACGGGCCCTGCTTTTAAAATGTCTCACTTTGTCAAGTCGTTATAAAAACAAAATTTTAGTCGAATGGTTGATGCGGTGAATGGAATGCTTCACAATTGCGATATGATTAGACGTGGCTTACACTTAAATATCAATCGGAAAACCTCATTATCGTCCACATCGACCATCTTCTTTAACACTGAAAAAGGTCTGAACGCTTACAAATTGTCCCATAATTGGTTTTATAAGCATTCAAAGGGGAACCAAGGAATTATTATAGTGCAAGCAGGTATTTATCTCAAGAAGACCTTACCTTCATCAGACTGATGAATGTTGATAATCACATCGCATTGTATTACTGGTTTAATACTTCAGAAGGTAGGGACTTATGTCAGTGACACATGTCGCTATTCTGTGTGCCATTGGAAGCATTAACACAAAAACTTGTCAAGAACCAAGTATTCATGTCAAACTCTCTAAAAACACAATATATATAATGCGATAGGTAACTGATATCACTAATAATTAGCGTTTCTCTTACAATCAAATATCGTACGCAATGTATTAGCGGATATCAAAGAATTCGACGCAAACCAAATAATTTCATCACTTACATAATTTCTTTCTTATTGGGCCTCCACGCTATTGAATGAGCGACTCTCCAGCATATACTTAATAGAAACTTGTTATGCAATATAGAGAAGAAGAATTTCGATAATTCATTTCCGCTAAAACGCGGGAGGTAGAGTAATTTTGAAAGACGTTTGCAAGAGATTTCTTGACATGAGATTGTTTTTCTTCTCCGAACCTACTTCGGCTTCTTACGGATAAAGTGTTGCAAAATTTGATTGCAACAACTGTAACAGAGCACCCGTAAGGTGAGACCAGATTATAAGTGAGAATATTTTAAAAGAGGTTCAACCCCCCAACATTTTTATATCTATCAACGAGGGTTTGAGAGAGTATGTTGATTCTGACAAATCGTTTGCAGCGCCCCGGAGTAAGCTTTCACAGATTTTATAAAGTGTTCGTCTGTCCGTCTATCTGCCCGTCTATCTGTCCGCCCATCCGTCGGCTTAGCTGCTTGTGGCCAACGTCCTCCAATTCAAATTTGACAAAATCATTGCGAGCTCTTGCCAAGAGACTGGTATTGAAAACGGGGGAAAGAAGTAAAAGGACGCACTCGCAGTACGATATAAGTTGTGGGCATCCCTATTTCCAAAAGTGAAGATTTCATTACCCATAAACTGCAGCAAATAATACAAAGGTACCAATTTCCACGTATATTCTGTGAGTGACGCTGTATTAGAAAAAGTCGGCCATGAGTACCCAATATTACAAAATATCGAAATTTCATTTGATTTGGAACCGGGTAGACTAGTGGGTAACAATCGCCACTATTAAGTCAGCTTACTTCGCCGATCCAAATCGCTATGCGATGGAGTTTAGGGTACTTTCATAAAGAGAGACACCAGAGGATTCTTACTAAGTAAGAGGCGTCATAGGCAAGTGGATAAAAATTGCATTTACCAAGTTGATGTTCGCGGGTTTAAAACTCAATGCGGTAGACCATGCCTGGTGTTCCGTAGGGAAAGACAAAAATACTAACGATTGGGCATACATCGACTAGGCTGCGGCCACTTTCTGACTGTCACCGTTGTTTTCTTTTTAATTTTTTGTGTGACGAATATGAAGATTTCGGACACAGCTCTTATTAGTTTCTGGTATCACTTGTTTAGCAGCTCCTCGCGGTACATTTTAATAAATATACTTTATTCTGCTTTGTAGATCACTTTTAATGTTATCCTTATACACTACCTTTGCCTTTCAATTTATATTTTAGATGACTTCTGACAATGAGCTGACACTTATTACTTCCACTAATAACAATAATCACAACAACAACAAAATAACAACAAACATTCATTCTTCAAATGGTTGTGCAACATTAGATTCTTCCAATTCCGATAAAACTCAAAATAATCAAAAATGTAAAACCAACAGTAATAATAGTATAAATAACAACAAAAACAGCAACAGCAACAGCAACAACAACAACCACAGTAACAATTCTGTAATAAATACTAGTACAAACGAAAATGCTCAGCAACGTATGAACACAATAACAACGACACTAAATTACGACCAGCATCGGATGAAAACCTCAGACTTGGCCGATAGTTTGGGATTTTTTAATGAGACTTTGGACTTATCTCAGGAGGATATACAACGTACGCTAACCGCTAACATGCCCGCAAACGATCGTAATTTATTGAATAGCATTGATTTCATTAGCAATGATTGCAATGTTACAACAGCAACAATAAATAATCAAACGAGAGATCGACGGCTTGACGGCAGCTTGCCAACGACTGGTATCGTAGACACGGAAAGTGACGTTACTGATAATGTGTTTGTCAATTTGAACGCTTTCGATATGTTAGTAGAATTTCCGGAATTAGACTTAGACGACAAGCAAGCATTGTCTAATACCGCTTTAGAGCAAGCGAATAATTTGGTTCACGGCAACAGTCCCAACAGTAACAGTAACAACACAACAGTAGTAAATAATGAGAGATCATTGCGCGACTTGCAACAACTAACGCAGTATTCCCATAATGCGATTGTTAGTGTTACTGACGTCCAAGCTGATAAAAAACTGTTGACAATTTGCGATTTTAGCCCAGAATGGTCTTACCCGGAGGGCGGCATTAAAGTTCTAGTGGCCGGTCCTTGGTCTGCTAGCAATAACTACACTGTACTGTTTGATGGCCAACCAGTGCCTACAGTTATGATACAAGAAGGCGTTCTAAGATGTTATTGCCCGGCCCACGAGGTTGGCTACGCTACGATGCAAGTATCGTGTGAGGGCTTCATTGTATCCAATTCAGTAATGTTCGAATACAAAATGTCGGTTTGCCATGAGGCTCCGTTTGATACCAGCACAAATGATTGCTTGTACAAATTCGCTTTATATCATCGTTTATCTACTATCGAGGAAGTGATGCAAACCAAAAACGAGGCTAATAAATCCCTTCGCCAGTTGTTCTCGTTAAAAGATAATTTGGAGGAGAAGTTGGTCGGATATTGTCATCAGTTAATGAAAATGATTTGGCCAAATAGTGCCAGCGCAACGCAGACACGCCTGGGTAATGTAGCCGCTAGTTACAAGGGCATGACTTTGTTACATTTAGCAGCCGCTTTGGGCTACAATAAGCTACTCTGCGCGTTATTAAGCTGGCGCAACGAAAATCCTCACATTATTTTGGAAACTGAAATTGACGCCTTTAGTCAAGATGGTTACGGTTACACGCCATTGGTAACAACTCTTAATGCAACAAAATAATTAGTTTTTATAATAATAGCATTCTTTTCCCCTTATTTCTCACTTTGTAGACTTGGGCCTGTTCGCGCGGCTATTTGGAGACGGCCATCACGTTGTACAAGTGGAATCAAAATGCTTTGAAAATTAAAAATCATATACAGCAAACACCGCTAGAAGTTGCTCACTTGAAAGGGTAGGCATTGCAAAAAAATAGTTCTCTGATTTCCTTTCTCATTTCTCTTTCTTCATATGCAGCCATAAACAAATTGCAATAGAACTACAAAGACTGGAACAAGAACGCCAACGCAAAAATGGACGCGGTTCTCTAAACAACTTGTCATTAAATCTGAACAAATATTCGGTAAGTAGGACTTTTTTAGATTTGTACGAAAAACGCAATGACACATAACCTTTAACTTTTTTAGCTAAACAACGATGAAAGTGAAGATAATAGTTCTTCATTTTCGCTATTTGAAAATATGGATTTGCAACGTAGTCACGATGGAGTGTTCTTAAGACCGATAGCAATGACAAGGTAATAAGAAATAAAATGTAGGAAAGAAAAATATCTTCGCCTTGCAGCGAATCTTCGAAATCCATCACCTGGACCAACCATATATAAGATTAGCTTGGCTTAGCTTAACTTGTCAATTACGACTTAGGTTTAGCTCTCTCTCCATTAAAAGTCACTTACATGTATAATGTTGGAAATTCGTGCTGATCGTGCTTTAATAATCCATTTTCATTGATCTTTGGCGTGTGGCAGTTATTTTCTGCGTCTTTGCTACGCAAATATTGTTTTCAACATTTAATGTTAATTCCGTTTAGATTAATTAAAGAATTTCCGGTCACCTTAAAATTGAACGCACGATGGGTCACTTTGCTCACTTTTTGTGCCGTACACCAGCTGTGGTCCAAAAGCCAATATTACGTTCTCGTCGATGCTTGAAACACTAAGGAGGACTTGAGATAGACTCAC